CTCGTATACATCTTTTTTTTAATGATCGTTGCCCATTCCATGTGGACCAGTTTGGCTTTCGGAAGCACCGTTCTACCGGACAGCTTCTCACCAAGGTCACGAACGACTGGCTTGTCTCGCGCGACGCTGGACTGCATACGGCGGTTGTCTGTATTGATTTGAAAAAAGCGTTCGATATGGTGAAGCATCAACAGCTTCTTCTTGCTCTCGCAGCTGTCGGTATTTCGGGAGTGGCCCTGGCCTGGTTCCGATCATACCTTTGTGCCAGACAACAGCGGGTGGTTACCCACACTGGAACATCTCCGTTGGTGGCAATCACTAGTGGCGTGCCACAGGGCACCATTCTGGGTCCGGTGCTATTTAACATATATGTACGGAAGCTCCCATTGACAGCAGAGGCCTTTTCTTGCAAGCTCCCGATGTTCGCTGACGACATGACGCTGTATGCCAGCAGACGTACACAAGCTGAGGCCGTCGCTACCGTTACTGATTCGTTATCTGCAATTTCTGTGGATCTAGACGAGCTTGGGCTGCGCATTAATACAACAAAGACTGTAACTTTGATGATTTCTAAGTCTTCTCAACCCCTCTCAACTCCAATCGTTTTTAACCAACAGCCTCTGACTCAAGTGTCTAGCACGAGAATCCTGGGAGTCATTGTAGACAGTGATGTTTCTTGGTCTGGTCACATAGACTTTATCGTTAGGAAGACTTGCACGAAAATTGGCGCTCTTCGACGGTGTTTTCGGCAACTAAGTTTGAAGGCAACACGGCAGTTTATCCTCTCGGTTATCCTGCCTGACTTATTATACTGCTGCTCTTGCTTTGCAATGAAGCTATCCGCCAAGGACCGACAGCGACTCTCGTCCGTTTATCGTCGTTCTGTACGCGCTGCTTGTGGCTCGAAACTACAAGAGGACGTCATGCCGCTGTTAGCTAGATTGTCGATTGATCCGTTTGAACATTACCTTATTCGTAGCATTGCTAAATTTATCCATGTTAATCATGTCGTTTTCCCTCTCCCAAATCTGACGGACCTTTTCCCTCAAGTTTCAACCGGCCCTAGGACAACAAGAAGCTCTTTTAATGCTGCTATTGCAATATCTAAATTCCGGACGACTGACGGTGTCAATTCCTTTTCAAATCGTGCTGCCCTGTTCTTTAATTCTTTGCCTGTGGAGTGGCGCACCCAGCACCGCACTACATTTGCTAAGCACCTTCAGACCATGCTAAAAGACGCAGCGTCTTTTCAGAAGTATTTTGATCTTCTTTTCAGCAAACTCCCTCATTGATCTGCACCGCCTGTATTGTATAACTGTGTTTACTGCGTCCCTAGTTTAAATTCGTTTTTAAAAACATCTCTTTAATTCTTGCACTATCCCATTATGACCATGCTTAAAGACGCAGCGTCTTTTCAGAAGTATTTAGATCTTCTTTTCAGCAAACGGCCTCATTGATCTGCATCGCTTGTATTGTATACCTGTGTTTACTGCTTACTGCTTACTGCTGCTTTATTGTTCCAAGTATCAGTTTAGTTTAGTTTAAATATCTCTTATTATTATTTTTTTCTCACCCCACACCCCTCTACCCTGTTATCGGCCCTCTTAAGAGTTGTGTTCATCACTGTTGAGGCTTCTGATGGAAAATAAAAGAATACTACTACTAAGGCTGCGTTCGTTTTTAGCTACCTGGTAGAGTAGAGTAGAGTCACTCTACCGATAGAGGTAGATGGTAGAGGCAAGTGTACGAACGCTGTTCTACCAGATCTAGTAGTTTACACGATGTGTACGTGAAATGTTTCTTTTTTTTATGGAGTTGTGTACAAATCCTTGATCTTGCTGGAAATCCCGTAGCTCTACCAACTTCTACCGGATTCTACCAGCTTTTTCCCGGTAGAGCCGGTAGAGGAAAGTAGAATCTACCCTTTTGAGTAGAATTTTTTTTCAAAAAACGAACACCTCTACCGAAAGAAGTAGTTTCTACCCAAACCTGTAGATCAAAAACGAACGCCCCCTAGGTCACTAGCTAGCACTCGCGTTGATTTTTCGACGTGCGAGCAAATAACGCGAGCTGAACTTTCGCGTCACGTCAGAAATTTCTAGTCACTCTTGCGGGATTCACAGAAGCTTTTTTGCGATGCGACACGCGATGCGACAGACGCGAAACCGGGAAAACCCCAAATCGCAGCCATGTCGCACCCCACGCAACAGGGCTTGAAAGTGCTACGTCACTCCATAGCAATGGCATAGCAACAATTTGAAAAATTCGAAAACTGGATCCACCTGGATCCAGTTTTTGTATGGATCCAAGCACATTTCAAGCGGTCTCACTCACAGCAAGGTGATGTTGCCAGTGAAACTGACTGATTTGGCTAGTGGGGGCGGGGTGACAACTGGTGGCGAAGTAAAAGTTGCACCTGCATACGACATGAGTGGGTTGCTATGCACCCACATACTGAGGCAATAGCAAAGTCACACCTTAGTGGATCCAAAATAGAAATCTGATGTCAATTTACTACTCCCAGGCCGTTTTTGACGTCATCACTTTCAAGCCCTACTGCCGCAACTGGGCCATCGCAGGCCATCGCAGAAGTTGAGCTTGGCTCAACTTTTGCGATGCGATGCGATGCGACAAGCGATTTGGTGTACGATTTTGACCTTTTCTACAGCAAAGTTGTACAAAGGTGCAAGAGTTGCCTATAAATTTTTACAAGTTGTGTCAAACCGCGCGAATATCATGGTGACGTACCCAAATCAGCAAAACTTTGTCGCATCGTTGACTTCTTCTGTGAATGGTATTTCGCGAGTTCGCATCGCACGCATGCATCGCAGATCGCGTCGCATCGCGTGTCGCATCGCAAAAAAGCTTCTGTGAATCCCGCTTCACAATACAACTTTCTGCGACGCGACACGCGATTTGGGACAGTTGCGACAAGAAACTGCCTGTCGCGAGCTGTCGCAACCTGTCGCAAGCTGTCGCAATGCACCTGTCGCAGAAGTTGAAGAAAGTTCAACTTTTGCGACATGCGACACGCGACATACACAAATGGAGTACAGTTTCGACCCTGGGTGCACGTGCAGTGCACGTGCATAGTGCAGCTACGTGATTTCAAAACTCCGTATGGCGGAACACAGATGCGCATGCAGTTTACGTTTACACGACAACGCTGGGGGCGAAAACGCAACGAAATCCTTTCGGATCCATGGTTCATTTACAGTCGATGCGCCAAGCCAGCTGAGTAAGAAAAAGAAAAAGGAAAAAAGGCCCAACCCTGCCCGGCCAGCTATTTGGACTTACGGGGGTCGCCATGGCAAATAATAAGTACTTCGAAGTAGTAAAAATGAGCTAGTGTGGCTGTGAAAACAGTCTATATGACAATATTCAGTCAGCCATAATGGATGCCTCCGCAGCGACCACAGCTGCAGATGACGCGACAGGAGCATGGGCAGAAAACATGGATCGGCTACCACGCACACACATTACACTGGCCCGTATTAGCGCTACGCTAAGACGACACCGGATGAACGCCATGGTGAGGGAGTAGGACTCACCGGTCTTCTCTGCAAGCAACACAGCAATTCTCTTGTACAGAGCTGACGCACACTTGCTCATGCCGCCAGTCGTAGAGAACACGGCCGGGACAAACGAGGCATGCTCTACATCACGCAAGCGCTGTTCGTACGAACGCTTCTTTGCCTTCTCATGGCGGGTGTAGGCTGCGGAGACGGAGGAGGAGCGATTTGAGGGCGCAAATGGGTTGAAAACCCTGACATCAATATATGTGCGTTCAAATCGTCCTCCCCATATCCCGTTAGCGGCCACGTCCAATCTGGCAGCATCGGCACGAATGGCAGTGCGAAGAGACAGCTGCTCACCCGACAGAGGCTCGAGGTGCGGCTCAACGGAGACATTGGTAGCTACTCTCTTCAGAAGGCCAGCTGTCACATCTCGAATTTCATTGTGGCGAATACTGGGGTACCCACCCGTTGGACAGCTCAAGGCATGGGCGATGGTGAACTGGCTCCCACAAGAGCACGCAGACGGCATGTGCGGTAGTCTCCAGTTGTAGCGGAGATGTAAACCATCCCGAAACTCCGCCTTCGCCATAGCAAAGCCATGGCGTTTCAGGGGTCGGCACGTCAACCACCCTGAGGCTCCCTTTTCTGCTGCAAGCTCAACTGTGCGCTGTTGGTCTGCACTCAGTGAAGAGCATACAGTTGCAGCGTGGGTTCGGAGAGCGTTGCGAGCTGACGTCTGAACTGCCTTCTTGGCTGCTTGTCCATCACAGATAGCATCGCCAAGCGGCATCACTTGCTGGATGATGTTTTGTTGCAGGGTTCTGGTGATTTGCTTCGATGACTGATGCTGAGAGGCCAGCTGGGTCGGGTCAATGATACCAAGGCCCCCGTAACGGCAGGGCAGGGCAAGCACAGCGCGGTCCTGCACGTGCATAGTACTACTTGTGCATGAGGATGTCGCAAACATGAAGAATATTGTGAACCGTGTGTCGCTGTCGCAGCTCGTCGCATGTGTCGCAAGTCGCATGTCGCGTCGCAGAAAGTTGTATTGTGAATCGGTGATGCGACACGCGATGCGACGCGATCTGCGACGGACGCGTGCGATGCGAACTCGCGAAATACCATTCACAGAAGAAGTCAGCGATGCGACAAATTTTTGCAAAGTCTTGCTGATTTGAGTACGTCACCATGATATTTGCGCGGTTTGGTACAACCTGTACAAATTTATAGGCAACTCTTGCAACTTTGTACAACTTTGCTGTAGAAAAGGTCAAAATCGTACGCCAAATCGCTTGTCGCATCGCATCGCATCGCAAAAGTTGAGCCAAGCTCAACTTCTGCGATGGCCTGCGATGGCCCAGTTGCGGCAGTTGCGTGGGGTGCGACATGGCTGCGATTTGGGGTTTTCCCGGTTTCGCGGCTGTCGGCTGTCGCATCGCGTGTCGCATCGCAAAAAAGCTTCTGTGAATCCCGCTCAGCATTCTCTAGACTTGTCAAGTAAAAAGCTGAGTTCTTCAAATGGGACAGTTTTATCGCTACATTTCTACTGTCTTGTTATTGCTTTCGATCAAGCAAAGAGCTAGAGTTGATTACTAGTGACTGCTGAACCATTGGCTATTTTATTCGTGGACACCGCTGTATGATCCATCCACCTGGCAAGCATGGCGAATTTTGTGAATTTGTTGTTGCTGGGCATCTTCATGAGTGCGAATGCTGCATCTGCGGCAGCGCCTGGCTGTGAGGTAGGAGATGTGGACAGCATGAGGTTTGACTGTCATCCAGAGGCAAATCCAAACGAGAGCGATTGTGTCTCGCGAGGCTGCTGCTGGAGAGGTCAGTTGAAAATTTCATAAATATTAAATTCAAGATTTTAAAAAGATTTAAAAATTTGAAAAGGCGATTAATAACCACATGCCCCTTGAGTCATTGACTATGTGCAATAGGCTGTCCCCCGTGAATTCCGCAGCAGAATATCAGAAATTCCGTGCAGAATTCTGCGGCTGAAAACAGTAAATTCTGCGCTAATTCTGCAAATCCTTCCAAATTCTGCGGCAATAATATTTTTCGCATTTTCCGGATTTATCCATGGCAAAGTTCAAGCCGCGCGAAACACAAGGCACACACACCGTACACCACGTGCAAAATCAGATGGAAAACGCGGTTTCGGTCCGTGGTGCATGCGGTGGGCGCATGCAGCCAACACGTCTCCAAAGCAACAAGGCATGTTTAGCAGTCGTGGAGAAATCACGTAGAGCGAAACCCAACAGCGCTGATTTTTATGTATGAAAATTACGTGCAGTTCCTACGTTGTTTTCATACGTAATTCCGTAGAGTGAAACCTCCCTATTATAAACCGTGGCAACCATTAGCCAAATCTAGAGCTGGAAAAGTTAGTTAGTGTTCAGCTAGGCTAAAACTTGAAAGCCAGTACATGTATAATTTAGGGGTGAAACAATTATACCGAATATTCGAGTACTCGCTCAGTTTTTTCAAAAATAATCGTACTCGGAATAAATCAGAGTACTCGTTCATACATGCCACGGTACAGTCGTCTCTCTCTAATCCGGCACTTGTTTATCCAGCACCCTTGCAAACCAGCACACTTTCTGGCAAAACGGATTTTTCCAGTTCATTTTCTACGCTTTTATCCGGCACTTGAATTCCGCCTCCAGCAGCGATTTTCTGCAACAAATCACTCAGGGTGTGGACCAGCCAGAGGACGACCACGATACCGGTACCGAGTGTGATCGCAGGCTGTGGAAGCTAAAGAAGCATGGCTTCAAGCAACCGCCCAGAATGAGCCAGGATGGGGAAAGAAAGATGGCCAACTTCAAGGACGAAGTTTTGGCAGCATATGGCAAACAAAGACCTCCCAAGCATAATATGACGCAAGAGGAACGCGACGGACTGAGAGAACTTCGTCATGACCCCAGTGTAGTGATAAAGCAATCCGACAAGAGCAAGAAGCTAGTAGCTATGAAACAGGAACTCTACCTGGAGAAGGCAGAGGCACTTCTGTCTGACAGCACTATGTACAGAAAAGTGGATCTAACTATCACTGCGTATGAGAAAGAGGTTAAATCCATACTGGAAGAGCAATGCACGAATATGGATCCTGATCTTCTGACTGCAATACTCCCTCATGACACACGATTCCCGGAACTATACGGTCTTCCAAAGGACCACAAGCAAAATTTGCCCCTCCGACCTGTTGTCTCTGCTTGTGACAGTCCAGTCACAGGAATTTCGGTGGTTCTCGAACGCATATTGCATCAACTGCTTGCATTTGTCCCATCGCACCTCATCAACACCAAAGACGCGCTAGACAATATCCGCACCATATACCCTGGCCTTAAAGCACCTGCTGGAACGATTCTGGCTACGATGGATGTGGTGGGTTTGTATCCCAGCATACCGATCGAAGAGGGCGTGAATGCCGTTAGTGACGTGCTAGAGCAACACCATAACAGAGTTGATATGCTCGGACTGAGCGTGACCCAAGTCAGGACACTACTGAAGTTTGTTCTGAGTCATAACTACTTCAGATTTGGCAGACAGATCTACCACCAGCTAGATGGGGTTGCTATGGGGAACAACCTGGCACCTCCATTTGCCATCCTGTTTATGCACACCATTGAGACACGACTTCTTCAGGACTCACCCTTCCAACCTATTCTGTTCAGACGATACATCGACGATATCATCATCCTATGGACACATGGTAGGCAGCGCCTTCTGGAGCTCATAGAAAGATTCAACGCCAGCCACGAACGTATCAAATTCACGCATGAATTAAGTTGTGACAGTGGCTGCATAGACTACATGGACGTAACGATCGCGGTTGGGCAAACCGGAGAGCTGTCATTCAAATTGTTCCAGAAGGCATGCAGTAGTGGCCTACTGGTGGATTATTCATCGGCAGTTCCTCACCACATCAAGTTAGCCGTCGCTCAATCTCAATTCCTAAGGGCACAGCGACTATCGTCTAACCCCATGATGCAAGCCGAGAGCGAACAAAAAATACACAAACAACTGCGCATAAATAACTACCCAGACAGTATCATATCGGAAGCAAGGGAAGCTGCCAGGAAACCTCGGCGTAGACGACGCGGTAATCCCCGCTCTGCCTTCCTTAAACTACCGTTCAAGTCCGATGAAGTACACCACCATGTGAACAAAGCAATACGGAAATACAAGTTGCCGGTACGTGTCGTATACGAGCACTCGGGCAGCCTCAGGCGTCAACTGTGCCGTTCGGCGCTGTTACCACCCAAGTGCGTAAACGAGCCCAACATTACTGAGAAAAGACGAAGAGGACGTCCACTAGGGCCTTGCATTACCTGTCAGTCTGGAGGCGAACGAGTATGTATGACAAAGAATGTAGTCTACGAATTGCAATGCAAATGGTGCCGGGAAACGTATGTAGGGGAGACGGAACGCTCCTTGGAAACAAGAATTCGGGAGCACAATGGCGAGGCACGCCGTCGCACTCTCGATAAGCCATGGGGTGACCACGTGCGCGACAAACATTCTGGCGAGAGTATAGCTGCTGCGGATAGTGTGTTCTCGGCTGTGTCAGTCCTGGCAAGGGCAGGCGACAGAGCAAGCAGAAAACTGCGAGAAGCTGTTGAAATCCGCAACTTGCGGCCGCAAGTAAACACTAATGCTGGCTGGGCACTACTGTGAATATATCGTATCTGGATATTAATATATCACCAATCCCTTTCGCCACCTTTGTAGCTGACACATTTAGCGCAAACACAGCACGGCACAGTATATTTGCTGCTCCTTTGTAGAGTGCACATCATTGCAAACCTGATGAGGGCTATATGCCGAAACGTTGTTTTAACTACGAAAATGTGTTCGAACGTTGCAGTGTAAATAGAAGGGAGCGAGTCCGCTCCATCTGTAATTCTGTATGAAACTGCAGGAGGCCTCACCGCTTCTAATCTCTTGGTTCTCCTCTTCTAGGAGCGAGGCGCCATGGCGATACTTGCAATGGGGGTGCAAACTCCAGAGGAGCCAGTGCCAGTTGTCGTTTCTTCTTCAATGCCGGCGGGAGCGTATCATCCCACGGTTCATCACGCAATCCGTTCGACCACCTCCAGCCTCAAGGCACAAGAGTGTTCGACAGCAAAGACGCTTCCAGTACTGTCTCCGACTTCTGAGCGACGCAATACAGGACAAGTGCGCAGAAAGGGACTTCCGTACAAGACAGTGCCGGTACTTCTGCGAACAGCTTTGGTCGTTTTCCAGGGAGGATTACGTGCGTATTCGCGCCCTGCGGCGCTGTGTGGTTACGGAGGAGCGCATCCGTACCAATGCAAGGCTTCGATGGAAGCTGTCTAGGCTTCAAGCCCAAGAAGATGCCAGGGAAGCGCATGAGGCATGTTTGCCCGCGTCGTCCTACCAGAGTGGGACAGCCCTGGGTAGTCCCGGCCGGACGGGAATGGAGCATTCTCGGCGAACGCTTGTCATGGACTCGTGTGTAACAGACAATGCCAGACGGGTATTGGAACTGGGACCCGGTTTTGTACCGTCCACGGGCAAGTTAACCAGTCGTGAGAAATCAGAAGTGGTCACCTCCGTAGAACGGATGGCCTACACTTTGAGATGGCAGCAGGCGCGGCCTCAGGGTGTGGACCAGCCAGAGGACGACCACGATACCGGTACCGAGTGTGATCGCAGGCTGTGGAAGCTAAAGAAGCATGGCTTCAAGCAACCGCCCAGAATGAGCCAGGATGGGGAAAGAAAGATGGCCAACTTCAAGGACGAAGTTTTGGCAGCATATGGCAAACAAAGACCTCCCAAGCATAATATGACGCAAGAGGAACGCGACGGACTGAGAGAACTTCGTCATGACCCCAGTGTAGTGATAAAGCAATCCGACAAGAGCAAGAAGCTAGTAGCTATGAAACAGGAACTCTACCTGGAGAAGGCAGAGGCACTTCTGTCTGACAGCACTATGTACAGAAAAGTGGATCTAACTATCACTGCGTATGAGAAAGAGGTTAAATCCATACTGGAAGAGCAATGCACGAATATGGATCCTGATCTTCTGACTGCAATACTCCCTCATGACACACGATTCCCGGAACTATACGGTCTTCCAAAGGACCACAAGCAAAATTTGCCCCTCCGACCTGTTGTCTCTGCTTGTGACAGTCCAGTCACAGGAATTTCGGTGGTTCTCGAACGCATATTGCATCAACTGCTTGCATTTGTCCCATCGCACCTCATCAACACCAAAGACGCGCTAGACAATATCCGCACCATATACCCTGGCCTTAAAGCACCTGCTGGAACGATTCTGGCTACGATGGATGTGGTGGGTTTGTATCCCAGCATACCGATCGAAGAGGGCGTGAATGCCGTTAGTGACGTGCTAGAGCAACACCATAACAGAGTTGATATGCTCGGACTGAGCGTGACCCAAGTCAGGACACTACTGAAGTTTGTTCTGAGTCATAACTACTTCAGATTTGGCAGACAGATCTACCACCAGCTAGATGGGGTTGCTATGGGGAACAACCTGGCACCTCCATTTGCCATCCTGTTTATGCACACCATTGAGACACGACTTCTTCAGGACTCACCCTTCCAACCTATTCTGTTCAGACGATACATCGACGATATCATCATCCTATGGACACATGGTAGGCAGCGCCTTCTGGAGCTCATAGAAAGATTCAACGCCAGCCACGAACGTATCAAATTCACGCATGAATTAAGTTGTGACAGTGGCTGCATAGACTACATGGACGTAACGATCGCGGTTGGGCAAACCGGAGAGCTGTCATTCAAATTGTTCCAGAAGGCATGCAGTAGTGGCC